ACTCTCTTCCTTCTGAATGGTCTCCCTGTCTCTCTTCCCTCTCCCTCACCCTCTTTCTCTTCTGCTTCTCTCTTTCTCCTAATGGCTGCAAGAGGTGAGAAGCCTTTCTCCACTGTGCTCTCTGTCTTGATGTTTATGTCTCACCTCAGGTATATCACCTCAGGTCTACCAGTTAGTGTTTATTAGAGACAGATTTAATTCAAGACTTCTGACTAAAGCTAGAATGCTGGACTTGCAGTCTTTTCTTGAAAGTGCTTTGTCGCTTCCTTTATTTTTGGTGGCTTGTAAGGAGGCATCTCTGTGACTCAACTGGTTCTCCTCTATAAGAAGGGGCTCTTTCTATTTCACTGCTCTCAGACATTATTTGTCCTTAGTTTTTAGAAGCTGGATCAAGATGTGTCTCCTGGGCATTCTTTCCACTTTACCCTGTTTAGAGTTCACTGACTGCTTGAATCTGCAGGTTTATGGCTTTTTACAAATTCCAGCTCTGCACCCTCCTGCTTGCCTTGCTAGAACTTTGGTGTGCAATGGTACAGAACCCAGTGGAGTGAACCTACAGCATGGGTGCTGCAGCAGGCTATCTGTGTCCCAGAAATCTCTAGAAGGGTTCACCTTCACTGATATAGACATTTTCTAGACTAGGGGTAATTTCTATTGATTCCTATAGACTATGGGTAAATGCTATTGATTCCTGTACTTCACATTTCTAAAATGTTTTTCAGTTCTAAAATCTTCAAATGGCATCAGGTGAATTGGAAACGGCCAGAAGCTGAGCGTTAGTTATAGCAACAGGGTGGCCTCAGAAGTCTTCAGAGTTTCTCTAGAAGTTAAAACAGATTGCAAACTTCAAACCACAGAGGTTTCCTCAGTGAATCACCTGCCTCCACAGAATCTGCCCCACCTAGCAATTGGGGGGTCCTGACTCTCATGAGAAAGGACAAGCAGGGGTGTGACATTTGGATAGGTGAATGCTGGGATTGGTTATGGGACTGAGCTTTATATCCTCTCTCCATACTTGCACATTTTCTGGAAACACTTGATAATCCTTTGTAGTCTTCACTCCAAGATCAGTCAAACAGGAAAGCAGTGTCAGGAAATCCCCTCTAACTCTATTACTTAGAAAGAGTAGAAAGAGCACTCTCACTCAGAGGGGATATGACTCTAAGGCACAACTGAAGAGAAGGACATAAGCAGGAGGGAAGGGACCCAGGGCCTCACTCTGTGACAGAAAAGTATCAACACTCTGATGCACTGTTGAGACAAGATTTGCCCCGCCCGCCTACCATATACTGAAACTATTAGACTCAGCCTTCACTCACTACTGTGGCTGCAATTTAGAGACACTGACCTGCCTCTGTCTGACCATGTCCATCTGGATTGCCTGTTCTGTTTGACATATAAACATAATCTAGTGTAAAGTACTGTGCAATCCAAATAAACTATTCAGGTACATGCTTAGTTCTAACCACCCCCCCAACCCTGGCTCTCTTCTTATTTTCTCCCACCTTATGATAAACAGTCTAACTACCCTGCCAAAATAAATCTGCCTGACAACATAGGACTTGACTCATGTTACCAATCAGATAATAACCTGCTATTAGCTTAGTATTTGCTGTTTGCAAATCTACTATAAGCTAAACCTCAAGCCGCCATAGGGCTGATGATTTGGAGTTGGTCCCCCCGCCCCCCCACTAAGGTAATAAACTGTTGCCTTCCAACTCCTTCTTTAAAGGGTCTTCCTTTTGATTCACCAGATTTCTGCAACAATGTACTCTGGGCAAGAGCTCTGTTACTGAACTGCATCTGTAGCCCAAGCTGACTATATTTAAAATGTACAGTTGTGGCTTCCTGAGAGCCAGGACCAGCCATGGGGAAAGGGAATGGAATCCAGAAGCCTAATCATACCTTTCCGTAAACCAGCCAGTGCATGCACTGGGAGACAAGAAGAGAGACCTCCCATACCCTAAGCAACTCACTGATTTGGAGGAACTCAGGGTGAGATGAAAGGAATAGCTTGATGCTTGTGTTGTTTGATTTACTTTGCAGGCCTGGGTCTAGTGGTCTGCTATTTGAGGAATGGTAGTGTTCACTGTGGCAATTGTGGGGGATTTCCTTCTGTCTTGCTTTTGAAATCCAATGTCTTGTTCAATTTTACTGTTTTGTTTTATTTCTGTATCGGGTAACCTGAGCAACAATTTTGAAGATAATTGAAAGGATAGGATTTTGCCCTAGATAGGATACCTCAACAGTGGGAGGCGCAACCAGGGACATTTACCCTGAGGTCACTTTCCCCGCCCCTATGCAACTTACCTACTGTGCAAAAGGAGTCCCAATCAGCTACCTGCATATCAGCAATGCCACCTTAAACCCAGTCAAAAACTATGTGTATGCTCCCCACACCACATGTCCATCAGAAAAAATCAGACCCCCAGTTGTCATAGGGTTTCTCTCCACGGTCTTAGAATAAAGGCCATTTTTACTTTATATTCTCTCTTTTACTGTGCCGAAAATCCTATCATTTGGGTTCCCCGACCAGGAAGGCAGCATGCATGACTCCTGGGTCTCCCAGTTTGACTGTCCCTGCCAATTTACAGATTCAACCGCATCTTGGATTAATTCCTCATTTCTCAACATGCGGGAGCTACTCAACTTGTTGCCACTGGCCTGCAAACAACACCAGCCTAATTCATTTACCTCAGGTGAGCCAACCTCTGTCCAAGGGTTTCTCCGTGGCCGTGGGCTGGGCTCATGCTGAATTACCCATTCTGGCCCTGGACTGGGTTAGCGGTTCTCATGTTCCTTGAGTAGTCTGAGGCAGAGCCATTACTATGGTCCTCTGGGACCCCACCCATGCATCTTGGTGACAGCTGGGGGTCATGAGTTGGAATTGTTCCTTTAACCTTCCAAAATAGGTGACGATCTCTTTTGGTTAGCTGTGGTGTGGCTTTTGGCTCACTTTTAATTCGGGCATGGGAAATACTTTTTCCTTTCCCCAGAAAGCACACCTCTGAGGTACCTGTTTCATAACCTTGGTATGAATGGCCTAAAGAAAACCATAAGAATTGAACAATTAATCTTTTACTGCCAGGAGGCTTGGCCAACCTACGAACTTAATGGCTGCCCATGGCCTAAAGAGGGCACGTTTGACCCCTGTATTCTCAAATATTTATATGACTTTTGTTACACTGGCAGCAAGTTAGCAGAAATTCCGTACATACAGGCTCTCTTTACCCTAAGAACTTGCTCTTCTCTCATTAAATAATGTACACTTGCTCAAATATTTTTAGCTAGCTCTACTGTACCACAAACTTTTCCCTCCTGCCCTCAAGACCCCTTAGATGATGTGCCCCCATCTTTAACCCTCCCTTCCTTCCTATCCCTGAGATCAAACCCTGAAGCCTTCTCAGCCAAAGGTTTCTGTACCCACTGTGATGTCCTCTCCTCCTCCCCCCCTAGGGTCTCTAATCCTTCCCCTAGGGTCCCTGATCCTTCCCTTAATGTCTCTAATCCTTCCCCTAGGGCTTCTGATCCTTCCTGTAGTATCTGTAATCCTTCCCCTAGTGTTTCTCCCCAGTCTCTGACTTCTCAGTCCCCCCAACCCAATCTGTCCTGTCTGAGGGTTCTTTGTCTCCTTCCCCTGTGGCGCCATTTTCTCCACCAGCTCACCATACTCAGTCTTGGGCGTTCCAGCCTTCTGGTGGGACACATGGTTGCTGCAGCTTGCATGGAGGACAGCCACCATCTTAAGGCCTTCCTCCAAGTGGTAGGGCACTGGCATCCTGGGACAGGTCTCATGGTCAATGGCTGCCCCCTTGTGGCTCCTCATGTGATCAGCAATGACTGTGGGTCACATGATGACTCACTATGCTGCCCATAGCAGCTAGGCTGCTGCGGGTCATATGGTGAACCTCCAGTGGCCTGTGTTTCCTTGTCTCATGGTGACGAGCGGCTGCTTTGTAGCCAATCATTGGGTAATTGCCCACACGTGCCTGCTGGACAGTTGGCTGCTCGATGGCCATCTACTCCATAGCCTTTTCTACCTCAGTCTCTGCTCCCATTTGCAGAACAGGCTGGCCCTGAGGGACTTGTAAATACACATGTATGTTTCTCTCTTTCTGACTTATCTCAGATTAGCCAAAAATTAGGTTGCTTCTCTGTTGACCCACAGAATTATATCAGAGAATTTGAACTTATAACTAATTTTTATCATTTACATTTTCAAGACATGTGATTCTGAACTCTACCCTCAGTTCACAAGAGCAAGCTCAGCTGTGGCAAGCAGCTCGAGAAGAAGCTGATCACAGACATAAGGCAAATACCGCTGAAAATGACCCTATGTGTACACAATGGAGCACCACTCTGGCATCAAGGAGTATTAACGTGAGTCATTGTGAGAAAAATGAATGCACCATGACACAAATGTTAGGGGAAATAAAAAAGACACTCAAACTAAATACTGTGTAAAAGCATAAATAATTAAAACCAAAAAGATCAGATAATGGAAAACAGGAAGGTGTGAGATCTTTGGCAAAAGAGAAGCAGAAGGGCTGGGGAGAGGGGACAGAGAAGCCGATAAAAGTCCAGATGTGTTACGTGCATGCAGTGACTGCTCACAAGGAATGTTATCACTGTGTGCCTTAACCATGTTCCAGTAAAAATAAAAAATAAAACAAAGTAAACAGAAAAATAAGTGTAGCCTAGAGTGCAGTAATTAGTTCATGGAGAGGCTGCTCTTCTAAGGAACCGATGTGGTTGGTTTTTGTGGGACCACAGGTAGGTGTTATACAAGGGTTGTTACATCACAGTAAGCCCAAACCCTCCCAATTCTTAAGTCCCAAAATTTGTCCAGGCACCATGTGACAGCTAAATTCCCTGTTGACAAGGTAGCAAAGGGGTAAATGGGGTACAGGGGCTAGAGCAAAGGGCCTTGCAAATCTTAGGCTCTATGGGGGCACACATGGAAAAAATCTTAGGCTCTATGTGAGCACACATGGAAAAAATTGACAAATACTATAAAATTTTATTTTTAAATTCTTATTGCAAAATACAACAAAACTCACTAATTTATTAATGCTTAGTTGAGTCTGCAAGATGTGTCCAGTGGTAACTGCAAATACAAAATTCCCTTCCTGTGTTACCCTGTCTCACTGTAATGGAACTTCAAATGGTCCTTTGATAAACCCCTCTTCACTGCTTTTGTATAACTGGCGCTAACAGCTATGTGATATAACTTACAACATAAAAGAACAGTTCTCCCTCTGTTACGCAATTCTTCAGCCGCATGCACTGAATTTTTCTTTGGGCCCTACCTTCCCCCCGCAATTATTTTCCCTTTAAAAGCCCTGAGGCCGTGCTGGGCAGGGCTCTGGTTCTTCAAGACAGACCCTGATCAGAAGCCCACCTGAGTAATAAACTGACTCCTTAAGCTCCTTGGTGCTGTTGCATCCTGTGTTTGGTCTGTTTCCTACCACCTTAGTCCAGAGCCTGGGGGTCACAGTGGGGTGGCATTAAACTCTGTGACAAAGCAGGGCAGGCTAAGACAGCAAGGAGGGGACCAGTCATAAGCCAGGACTCCCACCCCACGTTGTCCTTTATGTCTTATCCAGGGTACCCACGAGGGCAGATGTTATGGTTGGCATCCATGGTGCTTGAGTTAAACTCTTGATGCTTTCCCTGGCACTCCAGGAGATACTGGAAGCTCTGAGAGGTGGGGCCTGCTGAGAGGCCTTCAATCACTAGGGGTGCATTCTAGAAGGTGATCCTGGGACTCAGTCCTCTCATCTTCTCTTCTTCTTCCTGGACATGCTGGGCCACATGCTCCTGGTGTTGTGTCCGGCGTCACCCCGTATGGAGATGGATCACCTGGGCTGGAACCCTCAAAACTCTGAGGTAACATACCGCTTCCCTCTTTACCAGGTGATGTGTGAGAAGTGCTTGCTGGGGCACTGCTGAGCTCATCACCTGCCTCAGTGACAGAACTCTTTGCCACTGACTGCCTCACCTGGAAAAGAACACATTTGTGTTCTTTCAGCCACCACAGCGGGGGTCGCAGGCCACAGCAGTCACATACTCCTGAGCTGGTTTTACCTGTGACCTTAACTCCCTCCAAGAAGCCTCATCCTGACTGATGGGAACTCTTGAGTAAGACACACCAGGAAAACCCCAAGCACTGTTACAAGTGTTACCCAGAACAAAACCAGAAAGGGAAATAAAGAGCATAGAGACTGAAAGAGAGAAACCAGCGCACACCCCATACACACACTGTCCACCAGGAGTGTGTGCACCCAGTGCTAGAACAGACACGAGGATTTACAAAAGGTCTTGACAGAAAATGAGAAGTGCACAATTAGTGTTAAGGAAAGCAGCAGAGGGAGCAGGCGAAGGAAAGGAGAGGGAGCTGAGGGGAAGAAAATGATCAAAGTAAGGTATATGCACACCCCAATACACCAAAGCCAACCATCATTCTGAATCATTTATATGCACCAATAAATCACAACATTAAAAACAAAGGTTCTAGAGAGAAGTCTGGTCTGACTTCTCCTGGAGGACCTGCTACCTTTCTGAGGTGGCAGCAGAGGAAAACATGCAATTTACCATCAAAGAAGAGTAAGATTGCTGGCAGCACTTCTAGAAAATCATGCAAAACTGCACTGAGCTGACACCACAAACGGCACAGAAGATACTGACATCAATGGAGACACTGAGACGCCTGATGGGGATACATATGATATTATGAAACCCTGAATGTCCCATCATTAATTTAAACACCATAACAATGCCATGCAAGATTATCTTGTGTGGCTGTAGAACTCTGTATGTAACGTGATGGATTTCTACCATGCCAGGTGGCTGTGATCCTGACCCTGTGATTGGTGAACTCTCCCTCTCCAAGCACTATCTGGAGTCAGTATGTGTAGGCACAAGGGAAAGTATAAAATATTCCTTCAGTGAGACAGACCAGTTGAATATTCTTGTAGAAATGAAATAACCTGTAACCAGCTTCCTATATGCATGAAAGCCCAGCTCACCATGTGCATATCGTCAGCTTTCTGGCATCTCAGTTTGCCCAAGCAATGCTTTGAAAAGCTAAGACTCCTTCTAGCTCAGGACCTTTGGCTGCCATCAGACCCTGAGGACAATTAAGTGCCTAAAGCTCAGGCATGCAACTGTCAGGTAGCTTCCTACCTCCCCAGGAAGGTATATGCCACCCCTGACCTCACACACAGGCCACACGCAGGCCTGATCCTGGAGGGAACAATCCCCTGGGCCTGTCCTGTGCCCTGTGTCCTCTCACAGGTTCACAGTCCCATCCACGCTCCAGGCCTGCACTCACCATCTTCTCACATCCATTAGCGTTTCCTGCAAAGACAGAGAGAAGCTCGTGGTTAGTGCGTGCTGCGCCTTCCATCCAGAGGTCCCCTGGCTTGGGACCATGGCATCCTGCTCATGCTCAGCAATAGTGTAAGGAGAACCCACAAAGAATTTACTGAGATGAACCTGAACACTCTTCTCTATGTCCCATTATCTTAGGATTTCTGGAGGCTTCCAAGAGGCCTGTGGCTCTTTGTTCCCACAGCACCCAGAGGTCATCCAGATCCTGCTGCCAACTTGCTATCCCCTGAAACCTGTCCAAATGGGACCTGCATCAACCTAGGTCTGCCTCTGACACTGACTCTAGCAGACCTGAAACAGCGGGCTGTACCTCAGCTTCAGATGCTGAGCCCTGTGGTCCCTGTAGCTTTGTGCCCTTGGTTCTAACAGAGAAAGACCTTTTCCTAAGTGCACATGTACAGATATGCCTGGGAGGTAGGAGCCAGCCCCAGTGAGAATCAGGCCACACTGGACCTACCTGACCTTAGGATGCTACCTCATCTTCCCATGACGTTAGACATGCGACATATCCGGAATGCACATGCCAGGAATACTACTACCTGGAGGACTCTTGCAATGGGTATGGGGGATGTATATAGCCATGACCAGTGGTAGATCTCTAAAAAGTGGCAAAAACAGAAAACGTCTTGTTAAGGGCAGGAATTGGCATTTTCCCCCAGCAGTCCTATGATAAAAACAAAGTAGCTTTGCCACTCCTTAAATGTTAGACATGTAGGCCTCAGGGAAGAGGCCGAGAGGACAGGCCAAGCCTGGGAGGAAGGGGAGGATATCCAGCTCCCATCCCTCAGGGCATAAAGTAAGTATGTCCCTCCCCAATGGTCTCATGGTGGGGGATGCCACACACAGGCTGGAAAGCCTCAGGGCTGTGTGAGGGAATGGTGTGCCACTAGCCCCAAGCCAGGCCAGTGCCTCTGGGACATCAGATGTCTTGGAGGCATCACGTGGCACCTCAGCAAGGTGGAGGGGCAAAATCAGGCCAGGCCTCAGGTGATGGACACATCCCCATTGTCCTGGGACTGAAGCACAAGTCATGGTGACTGCAGTAGGACAGCTGGGCCTGGGTCGGTGTGAGACAGACGCATAAAAGGGGCCCAAAAGACCACCTGACTCCCTGGCTCCCAGCAAGCCCATTTTCCAATAAGGAAGGAAAACCCTAACTTTCCTTAAGTCTCTTTTTTGTTTACTCATTTGTAAACTGTCCTAAAATAGATGTAATATAAAATTCACAATTTGAACCATTTTCTGGGGATCACTAATTTCAGGTATGGTTGTGCATGTACCAGCACCAACAATCTCTAAAACATTCCCACCCTCCAAACTGAAACTCTGCCCTAGTAAACACTCATTCCCCACCCCTGTCCATTCCTGCTTTCTCCATGGGTCTAATGACCATGGATCTCCTATAAAGGCGAAACATAGTACTGCCCTTTGGTGACTGGCTTACGTTGCCGGACAGTGTCCACAAGGTTTATTTATATTGCCATGTGCCATGAGTTTCTTCCTCTTTAATGCTGAGTAATATGCATGGAATAGATGTGCCACCTTCAGTTTTCCCATTCTTTCATCTAGGACACTTCAGTATCTTTCACGTTTTGGCCGTGATAAATGCTGCAGACACGGTGTGCAAACACCTCTCGGACCCCACTTAGCTTTCTGGGAGACACGCCCAGAATGCAATGCTGGGGCACACGTCAATGCTACCTTCAATGTTCTAAGGAGCACCCGTACTGCTTTCCACAGTAACTGCACTATTGTGCATTTCCACCAGGGATACATGTGCCTCCACTCTCTCTAAGTCCTTCTAACACTTATGATTTTGTTTTTTCAACAGTTGCTGACACACAACAAGAGGAACAGCCCCAGCCATTGAGATAGAAGCTGAGGAGTAGTTATCAGAGGCTCAGGGCCTGTGGCATCACAGCTGAAGAGGGGTGGGGACTCCATTTTGGGGACATGGGTATATTTTGGAATTAGAAGAGGAAAGTGATGTCAAGTGAGCTTAACACATTAACTTTTAAAGGATTGACTTTAGGAGGGTGAATAAGGGGGGAAATGATCACACCATGTTAACCATATATAGAAATCTATAAATATTAAAAATAAACCTAATAATCCATGTTATCAGTGTGAACTAACAGGAAGAGAAGAAAAATAACATGGTTAATTTCATCTCAGTAAACTTTACTTCAGTACAAAACAGACAGGGTAAAAATAATATAGAAACCCTCTTACCTGAACGAGCCGCTCTGCAGACTGTATTTGATGCGGCATTGCATTCCTGCAGGACTGCAGTCCCATCAGGACATGTAGAGACAGATTTCCTCACTCAGTTTCCTTAACATGGAGCTTGTCCCTGTCATCACCAGCAGAAGGAGGCTTTGCCTCTCTTGGTGCCTGCCCACCCCACTTAGTAAGAGACAAGGAACCCTCCCCACACCCCGTCCCTGATGTTCCCAGCCTGATCACAATCCTCAGAAGACATTGGTGTGATTCTCACTAATGGCCTAAGCTGACCGATTTTCCTCTTTTATGCATATGGCTTCCCTACTGGTGGCCCATACATAGAAGCAAAAATGAACTTGTCCTTTTGTTTTATCAGAGCCTCAGGGTCTCAGGGTTCCCTCCTAGTCACTGCACCATGCAGACCTGTTGCTCATGCTGGTAAACATTAGTACTAGCTCGGCCTGGACGAAGGGGATCTGTTACTTGCTGACTTCTTTCATAGCTTTAAACTCTGCATTTCACAGTGTGTTGAATGTCATCCATTTATCTACAAATCATGCCTGACCTTCCTCCTTGGCTCTTCTTCCTTCCTTTGCTATGCCTTGCTCATCCTCTGGGTATGACAACTCTCCCAGCAATGAATGAGGCTTCTTCTTACACCATGAACTCCAGACTCACAGTAGGAAACACTGGAGAAATCGCTAAGACAAACACCCCTTAGGGAACCTAAGTCCTTGCTCAGGCTGTTGCTTTGCTTCCTTTTGACAGAAGCCAGCCTTGGATGTTGCCAGGTGACTCCTGTTCCTGTGTGCTACTCCATGGCATACAGAACAGCACATATGGGGCAGAGAGAGGCATCAGGCAGCTCCTTAGCACCTTGGTGGGAAGAGAACCCTGATGTGAAGACGCCACTGCTACAGGGGCCACACTGCAGCCCATCAGAGAATGGTGAGTGGAGAATGAGGCCTTCCAATAGACAGTGCTGCAAACCAAGTCCGGCATCATTTCACAGGGCGTTATGTGCAGAAGAGGAAGAAAACCATGAAAAGAATGACTCAAGAGAGGACAGGAAGTCTGCACCTGACAGCTGGAAGTTCATCAGTATATAGGAAACCCAAAGGGACTGTGAGGAATGAGTGGCCATGACAGAGAGAAGGAGAGTCATGGAGATGTGGAGAACGTGAGGCATGAAAGGGCCAAGGAACACATCAGAGAGCCAAAGGCCAATCAGAAAATCACAGCATAAAGAACTAGGTAAAAAGAAGGTGTGCAAATAGCAATTGCCTGGGCAGTGATGGCGTTTGGCAGCATTTTGGGGAGAAAAGATCAGAGAAATTTTGGACCATGTGGGAGTATTCTCTCTGGGCTGCTGCAGGCTGAACTGACTGCTGGAGGTCCCCAGCTATATAATAGCCTGCTATTCTCAGCTGGTAAAGCAGAACACCCTGTAATGCCCCTCCAAACCATGTCCACATACTTATCACATGGTGTGCAGAATTCAGAAAATCCAGCGTCCTCAGGGAAGTAGCCCTGTTTGCACTTGCATTTCCGGTCAGTGGTTGGAGAGCACTCTCGCACCACTTCTTGGTCTGCAGTCCAAGGAACACGGGTCAGCTCAAAGTGGAGCCCCTCATCTCACCCAGGCCCATGACAGTGTAGTTACTAGAAACGGGAACACAGTGTGTCCCCTGTACACAGCTTAATCCACCAAAGTAGGTGCACTGAGGTCTTGAGATTTCAAGTAGAAGATCTATGGAAAGCCAAGCATGGTAGGGCTCACCTGGAACCCAGCACTTGGGAGGCTGAGGCAGGAGGACTGCAGGGAGTTCAAGGCCAGGTTAGGCTAAAAAGTGAGTTTAAAACCATTCTCAACTGCACAGTCAACCCCTAGTTTAAAAAAAATAAATTCTATGTTAGCTACCTGCTTCTATTCCTTCAGCTTTTCTACATGTTTGACAACTTTCATAATACAGAATTTATCATTCTCTAGGATATGAGCTTGTTGTTGTTTCACCATGTATTTTGAAATTCTAGATAGAACTGGCTATTTGCAGTGAGAAGAAATGACAAAAATCTCAAGGAAATGCTTTCCTCTGGGCTGAAGCATGATTAAGGCTGTATTCACATTGCTCTCCTCTGACAATACATAAGGAACAGTTTTTATGCCAAAGAAAAGTCGCGCGCTTGCTTTGCTACATCAGTTTGCAACTGCTTCCTCGAATGCTGGATGAATGGGTATTCTCTATTTTCTGTATGTTTTCAAAGGTAAATGCGGAACACCTAAATATCGGAAGCTCAGCCTCAAGTCCCTCTTTAGAGCCCATTGTCAGTAAGAGCACTGGCTGGGTCTGGGGTGCAGATGTCATGGCCAAATCCCTGGAACTCACCAGCCCGGCAGGTGGAGCAGACGAGGCAAGACTCCAGGCCGTTGGCATATGCTGTGAATGTCCCCAGCTCACACTTTACACACACTCCCTGGGTGTGGGGTCTCATGCAGAGCTTCTCTACATACTGACCTGTGGAAGCAATTGGGTAGCTGTGAATCCTTAAAGGGGCCCCTTACAGATCCTGGGCTGTACTGTGTTCTACCCAATCCCTGGAGGCTCAAATGAGTCAACAGCAATGCTGATGCTTTGAAGTTTAAGTTCAAACTGGTATCTGGAAGTAACAGGCACCCAGACATGATTAAGTGGCCAGCTCCACTGAGGGCATCCCTGTGAAACTGTGCCTCCAGTTCTCCTCCGTGAGCCTCTCCTATCTCTTTTTTAGGGTTCAGTGCTCACTGATGGAGGTGCCCCAAACCCAGCTGGAATTGCTGGACACACCCTGCCCTCTCAGTATATACAGATACACAGTCTGAGGTACACAGGAGAGATCCTCCTCACATGGGAAAAAAGATACCTGTCTAGGGTCCTAAACAGTAGGCAGCATGTGAGCATAGTCCCTGCTCCTCACACACCCTATCTAGTGCAGCCTCTACTCTGCTCCACTCTGGCCACCTAAACCCACATCCCAGGACTCACCCGTAGGGCACATCTTGCAGCAACGATGAGCATATATGTATTCATCAGCATTACAGGACTCTGGGCCAGAGTACTGTAGGCTCTGTTTGTACATGCAGTCAGTTATGGTGATTACCTTCAAGTTGAAAAGCACAAGAAATGTCTAAGTAGCAGCCCACCCTTACTGGTAATGATTTGTCTAGAAGCAGTGTTATGAAGCAGTGGTGAACAAGGAAGCAGCGGGCAGTGCTTTCCGCTCCTCTCCTAACAATAATCATTAGGAGCACGAGCTCTCTCAGCTGAGCATGTGAGAAGCTTTACAGCTTGTAGCTTCCCAAGAAGGCTGATTAATAAATCCCAGTAAATTGCAGTTAAGGTTGGCTCTTTACACTTTAACAGCCTAGGTTGTTTCCGGTCAGAAGGACAGCAAACATAAAAACAGGCACAGTGATCATCTGATGTAATGGGAGAAAATATCCTGAAGTTGAGGCAAGATGTGACACAGATATCCAGGAAGTTTAAGGGGCTACCGGAAGACTGAGCTCACAGAATCTGACAGGCTAGCTCCATGTAATCAGTCTCTTTAAAGGAGAAGAGAAGAAGGGAATACTGCAATCAGCCAGAAAGGAGTGCCTGTCACATCCCAGGGCTCCCCAGTAACATCTCTGCAGATTTCTCTTATGATGCCTTGGAGGCCAGAAGGCAATGGGTCAGGGTGTTAAAGATGCTGAAAGGAAAACAAGGCAACCAAGAATTCCATGTCTGACCAAAAGGAGGAAGAAAGGGAGACGTCACAGAGCAAGACAGGATGCAGAAGCCAAGGCCACTGGACTGTAAGATGCGCCAGACTGAGCCTTTCAGGGCAAAACTGGCAAGAAGCTTCAAAGGACATGCACTCTGCAGGGAACAGTAATGCGTCTGGGGAAATGAATGAAGGCCATTAGAAGAGCTGGTACTCTCCTGCTTTGGTGTCATAGTCTTAGTTTTATTTTGTGTGATTTCAAAGGCAAATACATGACAATAATAATTGGGCCAAGATTAGAGGGATGCATTGCATAAGGACAAAATTTTTACATCATTAAAAAAAGTGTGGAGATGCAGCTATATTGGAGCAGAATTTCATATGCTACTGACGTAAAGTTGACGTGACAAAATACATTTTGTCACTTTTTTGTTAGGGGGATGGTGGTGTCCTGTTCAAGCATTTGCTCATGAAAAGAAGGACATGGAAACAAATTACAATGAAACTATTATAATATTAGGATGTTAAATGCAATCTGTTAAATGTCAGAGAAAATAGCTGCAGAATACACAAAATGAAGTCAGTTAGAAATTTTCACTTTAGAAAATAAATCTGAAAAATCAGACTATCCCATAAAATGAGGGCACAAGGTGTAAGTCATCTAGAAGAATACAATGGCCTAAATCTAGTCAATTATCCCTCTGCAGCTTCCTTGCCCACTTCCTGCCAGGCTTCATCAGCTGCTGGTCCCTGCCCTGTCAGCTCCTGTCCTGCAAAAGACTCCACTGCCTCAGCTAGCTGGTCATATCACCCAGCCCTCCTATTCCTCCAAGCCCCTGGGCCAGGCTCTGTGTTCCCTCGCCAAACCAGGGTACCGCTAACTAAGGGCATCCCTTGTTAGGGGAAGGTGGTGTAGGGCTGGCACAGCTGGCTAGGGAATAAGCCAGACTTGTTCATTCCAGGATATCAGGACACGCCCCAAATAAGTCTCGGGACTCCGTACATAAAAGTTCTCCAGGTTCCTGGCAGGCCTGGGAGAAATACAGAGACGGGACACCGCCCTGTGTTCCCTTGGGTTATGTATGCTGTTAACTGTGATTCACTTTGTTTGGTCCATTTCCTGTGCAGAGACAGATTCCCCCTTACCTTCCACATTCAGGTTTTCAAATACATTTTGTCACTTTTTTGTTAGAGGTGGTGGTGGTGTCCTGTTCAAGCATTTGCTCATGAAAAGAAGGACCTGGAAACTAAACAGGCCTCTCGCCCCGCTCCCCATTTGTTCCCCGGGGAATTCCTATGTGGTCCGGACCCTGCCCCTGGATCTGTCAGCTGGTTCCTTCCCACTTAGGCTTACAGTCGGGCGCACTGTGCATGCCATTCCCAGGGCCCCAAGTCCCGGGCGCTGACGCATTGTTCAAGGGACCCCGCCACTGCCTAACGGGGCTCCAGCCACAGGTCCTCCAGGCCACGTGGTCAGGGCTCCGCCCAGGGTGGCGGGCGGGGCTGCCGCCTGCAGGGAGGGAGCCCCAGGGGTCAGCTATGGCCGGGATCGAGGATGGGAAACCCAGTCTGGGAGGCGCCAAGCACTTGGGCCAGGGCCCTGCCTTTTCCGGAGGCTTCGTTCTAGGAGGCTCCTGCCGGGCTCCCCACTCGAACCCCACGTGCGCACCCACCTGCACCAGTTGGAGAAGCAGATACTAGGCGGGGAGCCAGGTCCTGACCATCGGAACCGGGCACTGCTCAGCGGACAGTCCGGCTCATGGACGGCAGAAGCAGGTCCTCACCGCTCAGGCTGCCTCAGCTTCCGGAGTTCACGTGGGCTCGCCATAGAGGTGTGGAGTTGGCACAAGTGTAACAGGCTTTTCAAGGACTCTGGCTCCACCCCTAGGCTCGCCTAAACCATCTTGAGCCCCCACAAACTTCTCTGCTACCGCCCCCAAGCGCGCCTCTCTAGGGAGCTTGGACTCAGTCTCAGGGGCAGTTCCTGGGGGCGATGGAGGGTGAGGGAGATGGGGTCCTCAGGGGACCAAGGGGAGAAGGAGGGAGGGGCAAACGGGGTGGAAAGGAAGGGAGAGTGCGCACCTTGCCAGGGGATCTGGCCTCGGTGGGTTTAGGAGGCCAGGACCCAAGACCAGATTTGCAGGAGTCATTCTAGAGTACAGGACTGTATTCAGGGGCCCGAGGCTAGTGCTGCGGGTCGGGGGTGTGTCAGACTCCAGGGTGCCTACATTGAGGTGCTGAGGCCTGGGAGCCTGGGCCCTGGGGCCTGGGCTAGGTGCCCTGGGGACTGGGGCATGGAGCCTGGACTGGGGCCTTCTGGGGAACCTGGGCTAGGGTTAGGTGGCCAGGTGCCTGGGGACTGGGAAGCTAGGGCTGGGGACAGGAGCAGGGCCCTGACTAGGTGACCTGGTAGCCAGAGGAGACCAGGAGTGGAGGCTGGGCTTTGGGACTGTTGGACCAGTGGTGGGGCCTCTGGCTGGTGATGGGAGAGTGGAGGCTCTGGCCTGGGAGCCAGGACCCTGTGCTAAGGCTCTGGGACAGGAATCCAAGCCTGAGAGCCGCGTCTGGAACCGAGGCTAGGGTTGGGGGCTAGGGTCAGGGTCCAGTGGGTCTGCAAGCCAGGAACTAAGGGGCCCTGGGTGTTATAACTTGAGCCCCGGTATAAAATCCAAGGAGGCAAGAGACCGAAAATTTAGTGGCAAAGGCTTTATTTCCAGGCCTGGCGACCAGTCTCCGGGAGCCAATTTGGAGACTGTTCCCTAGAAGCTGAAGGGAGGACTTTAAAAAGGGGCTGGAGGAAAGGGTGGGGGGAGAGAAACAAAGAAACCTGTAGAGCCATCAAACTTGTTGACCCGAGTCTGGAAACTGTATTGCTGTCCACTTAGCTCTGACAATCTAGGGAGTTTCTGGTGTTTTTTTTAAAAATTATTTCTATCCTGCAGACTGACATTATCTCAGAGTGGCACGTCTGCAGCAATATTTGGAGAAGAAAGTGGACAGTTAATTATCTCAGGACAGCTTGTCTTCGCTAGTGAGTGCGAAGGGGTCACAAGTTATGAGACGCTGGAACTTAAGTTTTACGAAGACCTGATATCTAACTCATTTGATATATACAGAACAAAAGGAAAGCACCGATTGGGGTTTGGGCCATAGTATTACCCGGTAATTTGTTTAAGCTAAGCAGTTCTTAAAATTGGGGCAGGCTCATTTTACAACAGATCATCACCGGGTCAGGGGGAGGTCACCAGAAACCCAAATTCTTTATGGCCTAGATAGATAGGTGAGGGGAGAGGGAGGCAATAAGGCGCCATACAGAACAGAAAACGGCGGTAATGTGTCAAGGTCAGGATAAAGGGTTAAACTCACACGCAAATCTCTCTGCACACAAGCAGGTTACTTTAAACAAATGTAAATTAATTGCCATTTTAGTTTTCCTTAGCTCTTTAGCGGAGAATAGAGGCTCCTAGCAGTGATTAACAACCCTTGTTAGCTTGTTTTAGCACAGCTTCTGTAGTTTGTAGAGAGCAACAATGGTTAACATATCAATTAGGTGAGATTCTTGCAATTCTTTACAGAGGAGAGTGTTGCTCAACAGATCAATTAGGTCCCTTAACATATCAGTTAGGGAAAAAGGATAAAACAAACACATTTAGTAAGCCCCTATACAGGTTTGCTATAATACACATATAACAAAGCTATTTTTTTAGGGTACAACACTGGGCTTGAGGCATTGGGGCCTGCTTTGCAGGCGGGGGCCTGGAAGACAGGAGCTGGGGACCCTGTGTTAGTGCTGGAGTTCAGAGGCCCCTGTCAGGGCCTGAGGGTTTTGAGGCCTAAGGCAGAGCTATGGTAGGAGGGGCCTGGTGCCTGTGAGCCAGGGAACATGGGCAATGCCCCTGCGCACTGAGGCATGGGTGCAATGTGCACCAGGACAGGCAGGCTAAACCAGGGCGTGCTGGTACGCTGAGGCACCAGGGTGCGTCCTGTAGCTGGGCTGGAAGTGGTGTGGTGAGGCCAGGACTAAGACTCCAGGATACTGGGTCTGGGGTGCTGGGGCCCTGGGACTATGGGCCAGAGGTCTAGGGGTCTGGGGCGAGGGCTAGGTTCCAGGGACCAGGGTCCCTGAGACTGGGGGACTCGGAATTCAAGGTTTGGGGCCAGGGACCCAGGGGGGATGGGGAGAATGGTGTCTGGGCCTGGGTACCAAAGTTCAAAGTTCAGAGCTGGTTTCCTTGGGCCCAGAGTGGGAAGACAGTGCAGCAGTGCTAGGCTCAGGGGACTGTGGTTCTGGAGGCCTTGGCCCAGTTCCTGGCCAGGGTTGGGGGGTGGTTAGGGGCCAGAGCCCCGTTGCCAGAGTCCAGAGGGCCAGGCTAGGGGAGGCAAGTTTGCGCCTGGGGTACTGTGATCCAGAGAGCTGTGTTCAGGGGTCCAGCGTCCTGTGACGGGGACATCCTGGCTTGGGGGACAGTGTGCCTGGGGGTCATGAATCCAGGGGATGGGGATGGGATCACGGGGTCGGGGGCATTGGGGCCAGGTCGTGGGGTTCCGGGTGCCAGACCCTGTCCCAGAAGCCTGTGGCAGGGGCAAGGCCATGTCTGTGGTAGGAAGTGCAATGGGCTTGCTAAGAGTTCCACGCCAGCCTGGGCTACACAGTGAGCTCCAGATCAGCCTAAAATACACAGAGAGACACTGCCTTAAAAAGGCAGTGTCCTAAAAAAGAAAAACCCAAGCAAAGAAGCAAAAGTCTTTGAGAGTTGGGAATTTACCCCAATGGTAGAGCAAGCACTTGCCTGGCAGGGGTTTGGTCCTCAGCACCGAATATTTTTCTAAGACCTGCAGTGATGCTCTTCTCTTTACATAAAAGCAGCACTACAGGCCCTTGTATTTCCCAGGAAATCATTTCAGAAACTGTCAAAAAAAAAAAAAAAGTACTCCCCATCCTTGGTGTTCATGGGGACTCATCTTTGTAAGTAACACACATCTTTTGCTCTCCCCTGGGTGCCCATTGCCCACATCTTATCCACATGCCATCACCCAGGGCTCCATGGCACCACTGTCCTTTCCTGTGGCTCAGAGCAGCTAGAGCAGGCTGTGCCTTCTGTATGTCTTCCTTCATCACTCTCAGGGGTGCTCAGGCAATCTGGGACCCCCCTGGGGACAAAGGAACACAGGGCAGGTGCCTGCTCTGGGGCCTCAGCTCAGGGCCAGTTACCCACCGGAAGTGTGGTGTGAGTTCTTCCCTGCCCCTCACTTTCCCATTTCATCTCATTCACCTAAAAACCCAGAAGTCTTATTAAACCAGGATTCCTGGCTGGGATTGCCTGGTAAGGGTGAGGTTGTGCACGTTTGATCCTTAGTACCAAACAAACAACAGCAAAAAACCAGGACGCCATCACACCTGTGTCTCCCAAAATAAACTAGATAAGCAACTAAAAATGTCCCACCGAGAGACAGAGCAGGGAGGAACTCTAGGTCCTGCACCTGTTACTCTGTAAAAGTATAATGTGTACTTATTCCACTCTTCCGCCTATGTGTTCTCTTAATGAAGTAGACAGGGACCCTTGTGGAGATAAGAGACATGGTCTACAGCCTTAATCCATGATGCTTCCCTACTGAGAGAAAAGATGTGTGTTTCCCCCACTCTTGCTTGCCAACAACCTATGTTTTCTTACTCTCTGTGGAAGGACAAGGTACCCTGTAATAACAAGAGGATCCTAGAATATTCCCAAATGCAAGAATCCCTGCTAGTCCACTGGATGGGCTGAGACACATCTGTTATTCCTGAACTGGAGAGGCTAAGGCATAAAGATCACTGAGAGTTACTTCTTAGTTCTCCTGTGTGGGCATTAGTGTACTGAATTTCATGTTTGGGGACAGATAGAGCTCCACTCTGAGCTGGCCGTTTTTCTTATGGATTATCAGTTATCCACATTTAGGGTTCTATTTGAAGAAGCCTCAGCTATATAGTGATTTCAGGACCAGCCTGAACTGCACAGAAGATCCTGTCTAAGAAAACAAAAACAAAAACAAAAAAGAAACGAAGAATCAGGATGAATCTTAAAAATATGCTCAAAGCATTGTTTTGATCTTACCCCTAAGAGAATAGAACTCCTCTAGTGGGGCAGCTGCTCTGGAGATGGAATATATGGCCCTACCCATGCTGGAAAAGCACTCTACCTCTGATGCCCTTCCCAAGCCCTGTAACATTTACTGAGGTACAGACAGCTTCTGCATGTTTTGGACACAGGCCTTGTGTAGAGGTAACACAGACTCTCCCATTTCATGGCTTAAGATTTCAAGTTTTTATGTCTATTGATGGATACATCATTTTAAAGTAGTATTTATCAACCTTATCCACAGCACTGTGATTTTTATGAGTTATATAAATATTGTCTGATGCCTTAAAGCCCTAGTCTCTTTTCTTCTTGGAATCTTGTTTCTCCTGTGTGGACCTTAGTGTACTGCCTTTCGAGTCTGGGGACAGCTAGAGTTCCACCCTGAGCTGGCAGTTTTCCATATGGATAATCAGTTATCCATATTTAGGGTTCTATTTGAAGCCATGTGCTGCAAACCATGGGTTCACCTCTGAGCCACGTGTTTCTGGGCCCACTGCTTGCCCACAGGTCCCCATTCCAGCCCTGCATGGACTCAGGCCATCCTCATTGTCCCCTCACACAGAGCTGTGCCATCAGGGTAGGCCTAGTGCTGGCTGGGCTGTGGTCCTCAGGAGTCTTGCAGCATCTGCTAGCTTCTCATTTAAGAAAATCCCTGTTGGGAATCTCACTAGGAATGCACTGGAACATTCCATAGAGGGTAAGTGACATCTTTTTTAAGACTGAGTCTTTTTACCTGCCATGTTATTTCCATTTTCTGTGCAATTCCTGTAGACTGATGTGAATGCTCTTTGGTCATTTTATACATCTCCTGCTAGGTTCATTCCAGTCTCTCACATGGCTTTTTGGCTACTGAAAATGTGTGACTTTTAAAAAATTTATGTTTTTATAAAAAAATCCATTGTTGACATATAGTAACTTTGATGAATTTTTACATAGGAATCTTGTGTACTGCACTTTTGTTAAATGTCTTAAAAATCCTAGTAGTTTGTAGATCGATGGTTTATCTATCTATGTGTGTTATCATAGTAAAGAGAAGCCTGACAACCACTACAAGAACCAAACCCTGTGTGAGGGGCACCATTGTAGCTGCATGTCTGATAGAACACTTTTCTTGGGTGAGATCCATGGGAGCCAAGAGTAGAGGGCATGCTGTAAAGCCAGTAGAGCTCTGGTATATATTTCAGTGGTGAGGGCTTGCTCTGCAACTTTAGGATCCTGTGTTCAATTCCCAGAACTGAAAGAAAAAAAAAAAACAAAGAAAAAACCAAACAAAAGAAGACCAGAACAATGGCATCATCACCCTTGCCTGCCCCTGGCTACACACTTACCCTCCTTTCTGCCCTAAGAACAGACAGAGCAAGATGGGTGGAGGCAGGAACTGGCTGTGAGGCTTCCAGACTCAAAAATGCATACTCTGCAATGCCATGGTTTTCTTGGAAGGGTTTGGTGACATGTTGGCCTGTATGAGAAAGTGAGACGGGTGACCTAGGCCTAGGGCTGCCTCCTCTAGTAGAGCCCCAATCTGCAGGCTGTGTGACAGGATGCCTCATTCCTGAGAGGTCGCATATACTTTCCTTTACTGAAGTCTCCAATATTCTGGGAGTCTTCAAGAGTGACACCCGCCAGAGTCTTCAGCTAAATTTTACACAAATATGTCATCAAGAACTGAGACACTGTACCACCCTCCTCAGAATGCACTGGCAGAAGGTTTTGGGTCTGTAGACTGAGCTCACCAAGTCCTTGTGGGTGCCTCTTTATCCATCTCCACCTCCTGTCCCAGGGTCTTAACTGCCAGGTCCAGTTTCACTGAGGAACATTGAAGCTCTAAAAGGATAAGCATCTGGCTATGGCCCCAGCATTGCTCCTCCTCCAGTGCTCTCCTGTAAGGGCTTTAACAGCAGCATAGCAGGGATGTGCCCGCATCCTGGCTATGGCCACTTGCACCTCATGCACCCCACACATGTACCAAGTTCAGCAGATGTTAGGTCAGGCCCGTCCTGTCTCCTCTGTTCTTCAGCTATGGTGTGTACAATGTGCAGATATGCATGGTGGATACGCACATGTGTACCATGACCTGTGAGCTCTTGAGTTTTGAGGGGTGAAGGACCATGAGAGGCTGAGAAAATAAAGAAAAGACAAAATCTGGGGTCAGGTGGAGCCCTTTCTCTCTGGATGGGAGGAAAGGAGCAGCCTCCTCACTTTAGGGACATTTATTTATACATTCAGTGACACAGGGTTATGTGGCACCCCTTTACCTAGCCAGCCATTGCTTGCATTGCTAAGGGGCTTGGTGTTTTCCAGACTGAAGCAGCTTCTTCACATGGTTCACCCAGATGGTCTTTTTTCCCAATTGTCCCTGCATATGAGATCAATTTCCATCTTCAGAGGCTCCCTACATGCCCCTCTTTGTTGTTGTAGCACATGATGTGTGGTCAGCTGAAGCTGGAGGAACTGCATTTGGAGAACTCTTTAGTAGGCCTTTTCATTCTTGAACCCTTTTCATTTTAAGTTTAGTTCAAGCATTTTAAATCCCTGCATTCTTCAACTGAAACCCCGTACAGACCAATAATCCATCAGAGTAGACAGCTCTCAGTGTAGCTGGCTATTGTCGGATAGTGTTAGTGATTTGAGTTTTTAATAGGTACAACTAGAGCACTGGTTATACCTGCAGGATTTCTAAGAGCAGATTCAAGGGAGACCTGATTAAGTACAATCAGGTTTTTGTTATCTCTCAAGGACAGTTGAGTCTCCTCAGCGATTGCCTTGAAATGTTGCTTAGCCATTCTTACTATTTCTGTCAGTGTGAGTCAACTGAAAGACTCACTACCAATGCTTGACTAATTAGTTTTCCATGAAAGCTTGAGAGATTTTCTCTCCTTAGTCATACCACACATGATTGACCACATTTCTCTGTGGTCTCATAATCTTCTTGATCAGAAGGCTGGGACTCACCGAGTTATGGGATATTATAGCAGAGCTTCTCTTATATTCTGGATCCTCATGGACCTCAAATATCTGGCCTAAAACATAGGTTATCCCCTTTAGCCTGCCTATCTGTTTAGTTTTTGGTCCCCAACCCTCAGTTTTTGAGCATCCAAAAGAGTAGATTGATAGCAGTACAGTGTAGTAGCAGCAGTAAGCATAATATTACTGTCTTATTAAACATCATGGACCTTAAAGTATAAAATAGAGCCATTATTTTTAATAACCAGGCATGTTCTAACCCTTGAATACCTAATGGGAAGGCTGTTTCCTCCATACGCCCAGTTTAGGCAGAGAGAATCAGGAGATCTGCCTCTGCCTGCTGGGCGCTGCCACTGAAAGCCCCTTTCTTCCATATGACTAATGTGGAAGAGAAAACCAGGAGATCTACCTTCACCTTCAGGGAGCTGGCACTGGAAAGCTCCTTCCTGCAGAAGCAGGAACACACAGCCAGGGAAGCTCTGTGCATTCATAGGCCACTATTTGAGGCCTTTGTTTCCCTCAGACAGACATCATCCACGAGCAAAACCAGACAAACACATCCCTGTGTGTCTGCCACCATCATGGGAGTCCCAGTGTAAACACACAGGCTGAGAGAAGCACATGCACCCCTGTTGATGAGGGAAGCCCCAGTGTAGCTGCACAGCTCTGGAGAAGCTGACTCCATACCTTGGTACCTCCCTGTAAATCTGGAATTAGAGGAACCAAGATGCCTGTCATATCCCCCTATAATGCCTAGGGGCAGCCAACGTGGGAAGTGCCTGGGTTAGAATTTAAAATTGTAAAAAAAAAAAAATTAAAATTTTGTAATTGTATATACCATCATGAGGTATAAATTTTGTAGGTACAATACCCCCTTTATTGATAATTGAATTTTGTGCAAGTTTAACAATATGTAGCCTGTGTTATACATGCGGAACTTTGTTTCCCAATTTGTCACACCTGTTCTCAGCTTCCATGGAAGGCGGAAGTCTTTTGTCGAGAAGGGAAACAAAAGCCTGTTGGATGGCATCTGAGGAATAAGAGTTCATGCTAGTGGAAGAAAGAAAATCAGCAAGAGCCAAGGAGAAGTGTAAGCCTACTTTTTGGTCCTACATTGTAAGCAGGCTGCCCCCTCAGATGGGTGCAGCGTGCCCACCATCTCTGTGCCCTCCTGCTGCACAGGATGAGGATGTTTACAAAGGAAGGACCTCAGGGTCTCCACAGACTCACTCAGCCAAGCTCCTAACCTTTAAGTAGACACAGTGTTTCCACCATTCCCATCCACCCCCTTGGCAACTTGGTAACCAGCCACATTGCTTTAAACTTATTTCCAGCTATTATAACATGCCTGTTCTTAACATTTTACAACTTGGACATTGTAACACAGCTCTAACCTTAAGAACCAGGAGTGTGTCTACTAATAACATTATATTACATTAGCAGCATAACATTTGTCCCTTGTAGCTGAAAGAAGAAACATTGTTTTACCAGCTCCCTTGTCTGGGCCAAGGTCCAGGTTCCATGGAGGTCTCTGGTTTCCTCCCCTGCTTGGGGGTCTGTGAGAAGTAGTGAGAGGAACAGAAAGCATCAGTTTCTTCTAGTTAAATAATGCTTCAAAAGACTGCCAATGTCCTGGTAGCCTTTTTTAAAGAGGAAAAAAATCAAGGTAAATAAAACAATAAAATCAATTGAAATAAACCAGAATAAGTGATACAGGACTTCCAAGTCTTATGAAATCAACAATGTCTACCACAGTGCCTTTATTGTCTTTGAAACCATCTTTGGACATATTAAAAATCAAACAGAACACAATAGAATAGAAACAGAAAAAACAAAACAATGAATGCAATAAAGGGCATCAAAACAAGGCAGTAGTAGGAAATACATAATGGCTCTCATATCTTTGCTATCTTTCAAATATCTTCTATGTCATCAGAGTTAACATTTAAAAAAAAAAGAAAACAAGACCCCCCCCCCCCAATGAAAATGGTACAGTTTCTGGGCAGGGATCTCCTTCCCTGGGGCTGGTTCTCTCCCTCTGCAGTCCACAAAGGGAGCTGACTCACAGAGGGAGTCTTGGGGCTGGCTTTCCCCAAGTAGACAGTGCCTCATGCATGGCGCTGGCATGCGGGAGGCCCAGAGACTTGTTGGTTTGCTTTCTTCCTATCCTTGCTCTGAGTTGTTTTTAATTTCCTCTTAAATATGGAAATTTAGCTTTTTCTTGTGGAAACAAACTCACTCAAATTTAGGAAGATGTGTAATGTCAGTGTATTAAAAAGCAAAACTGACTTAAGAAAGCATAAAAGAGGATAGATAACAGCTGGGTACAGTGGCTCCATGAGATGGTCAATTTAGAACTCAGTATAATACAACATGGGGAGCCCCAAACAGAGGGAGAGGAATTCTCTTGTCTCACAGAGAAACTAAGGTGAGAAAAACAAATCAAACATTCACTCCTGGCTGTCTGCACCACCGTGCAGCCCTGAGCACCTCCAGGTGGCTGGTGAGACAGGCCATCCCCATGCCACCGCCTCCACCCACCGCTTCTGACTCTGTCATCAGGAGCCCGACAGAGGCTGGGGGAGTGAAATGACTAGGCGCCCACCGGCTGCCCCCGCCCTGCCTCCACCATTTCCTCGCTGGATCCTGGCCATGTCCAGGAGGTCATAAGGAAGAGGGCGGGTTGCGGCCATGTGGGCATGGGACCCCATTGCTGGGATGCATCCCCACCTTTGCACTGGCCTCTTGCATGAGGATCCGAGCCTGCGGCACTGGTGCTGAGCAGGCCCCCACCACCGGAGTGCGATCCCCAGGCAGGCAAGTGTGTCTTCACTGCTGCAAGGCCCGCACAACCGAGCCCCATGGAGCTGCGGCTGCCGCCATCGCCACCACTGCTGCCTCAGCTACATCCGCCAACTCCCTGGATCTGGGCCCTGTCCCAGAGGGTGCAAGGAGAAGGGGTGTGTTGTGGCATCATGGGCACGAACTGGACCTGCTGGGATGCATTCCCATCTTTGCACTTGCTGCTCTTGCAAGGACCCGAGCCCACGACCTCGGCATTGAGCAGGCCCCTGTTGCCTGAGCACTCCCAAGGTCCCCGGGCAGGCAAGTATATCTTCGCCGCCTGCAGGCCAGTGCGACCAGAGCCCCACAGAGCTGCCGTGGCAAATGGAGCCCAGAAAAGCTGCTTCTGACAACATCTCTTTAGACAATAATCAAAAATACAGAACCAGAATTTCCAGTTTCCGGCCATGATTGACCAGCTTCAGGGAATTGGGCCTGCTTGCCTGCGTCCTGAACTCTGGACTGGGCGACCTGGGGTGAGTGTCCCTGCACCATCCCAATCCCCTGAGAGGGAGTTTAAGATATCTCAGGTAGCAGTAATTTAGGGAGGGCAGCAAAACCCCAGTCAGCACACTTCAGAAAGACCCTAAGCAATACCTCAAGGGCCAGAGACCCCCTGGACACACCTGTCTGAAAAAAACCAGAAACATGACAAGAGATAGAAATGTAAAAAAACCTCTGGTCACTGACCCTGGAAAAATAAGCCCACGAGAGGGAAATACACAAGAGAAACACTGCGGTAATCATGCAATATTAGATACAGCTTCAGCGGACATAAAGAAATACCTTCATGACCTTATAGACGAATTTAAAACTGTACTTCTGATCCAACTGAGGCAAGATATAAAAAGAGTAATTAAAGAAATGATAAGCCCCTCCCAAGAGAACACAGGTGGAAGAACAGAGAAACTCAGAAAAGGAAGAGAAATCTTTCATGAAGAATATAAACAAAATCTAGAATACACTGAACAGATCCAAAGAGACTACCAGGAAACTAAAAACTCCATTGAAAGCTGGCAAAATGCCTTGGCAGAAACTAAAATTAGCCTTTTAACCTTGAAGAGAGATTTAGGTGTGTGATCGTGAAAGAAATGTTCTCTTAAAAATAACAAGGAACCAGGAAGAAACAATACAAAGGCTAGAAAATGACAAGAGGATTTATAACTGAAGAATAAAAAATGTGGGCAAAGAAGCAGGAGTAACAAATGAACTACAAAGAATATTCACAGATATAATTAAGGAAAACTTGCCAAGCATAGGAAAAAGAAATGATATTCAGATAAAAGAGGCATACAGAACTCCAGCCACCTACAACCAAAACAGATCTACACCCAGACATATAATAATCAAGATTCCAGAAATCCAGCACAAGAACAGAATATTAAAAGCAGCCAGAGAAAAGAAGCAGATTACCTACAATGGAAAAATTATCAAAATAACAACAGATTTACCAAGACAAACTCTCAAATCGAGAACAGCCTGGGGGGAAATAGTCCAAGCCCTGAAAGAAAATAACCTCCAACCAAGACTGAGGTACCCAGAAAAACTCCCTCTCAAAATCAATGGAGAAATATTTCCAAGACAAGGAGGAATTGTGGGAGTTCATGGCCACCAACCCAACCCTACAAAAAATACTGAAGGACATTCCAGAGAGGGAGAGGAAAAATACCAGGATTCCAGCAACAGTGACAAAGAGGCCTCAGTGAATGGGTCAGACTGTGGAATGAAGGACTAAAATGGACAAATAATGATAGAAGAATAAAATAGCAGAAATGAGGCAGAAACAGTAAGCTATAATCTTTAATATAGATAGCTCTGATACACTAACAAAAAAAAAAAAAAAAGAAACACAGGCAGAGTAGACTAGGAGGCAGGATCCATCGAGATGCTCTGAATAGGAGATGCATTCAACCTGAAAGAGGATTAATAAACTGAGAGTCAAAGATGAGAAAACAATGCTATGTGTGATAGGAAACCACAGAGAAATAGGGACAACTCATCTACCAGTTCCAGATAGACTGGAAAGCTATAATGCTTTTGGGCAGTGTAGAACTACACAGCTAGAAGAAAGGACAACCTTGTGACTTTAGTAAGTAAAGGAGTACAGCTCAAGATCAAGTTCAGGGATAAAAAGGTTTAGCAACACTCAGATAGATAACAGGTTGGCCCCCTAATCCAAAAACTAAAAGAGCTAGTGGGACACAAAACATATAAAGCACCCTGAGAAAGGGAAAAGGGAGGAATTGCCTAAAAAATGAAGGCAGAGGACATTGCTAATAGTGTATCAGGATTTAAAAGTCATAGTAGACTTATCGCTCTGTTTAGTTAGATTATATTTTGTTCTGGTCTGTCTACCCATATTAGATTTGAGGACACAGACAGCTAACCCAAAAATAAGAGGTTATACAATGGTAACTTCTTAATTTCCTATTAACTTAAAATGAAACCCTGTGTTACTTACATTGTCTTATTATGACTTATCTTATTTGAAGCTGGTTTATTAGACTGCTGTTTAGCCTTGACTGGTTTCATTTGAATATGGTATCCTTGATAGTGTTAAGTCTGGGAGTAGACAACTCCCAGACAACTACTCTGAAGATGACAAGATGTAAAAGATAACCATTCTGGTTTTGATTATTAACTGCTTTCAAGTCCTACAATATCTTCAAAGTTGTGTTTTTAATAAAATAGCTATGTAATGTTATGTTCAATTATATTATGCCTGATGATGTGGACAATTCTATTGAAAATAACAAAAGAAAGCATAGTAACCACTGTAGATCACCTAATATTGTGGTCCTATATGCCTTTTTCATTTCATGTTTTTCTAGGAATTTATTTTGTTGTCCTGTTTTGATCTGTTTTTCCCTATAATACAGAAAGGATAGAGATACGTGTAGAGAGTCACACATGGGAAGAATTTCTAAACTATTTACGGGATCAGATTATATAATACACGATGTAATGAATGGATGCTCTGAAGAAGAAGAGACACTAAGAACCCAGTGCTAATTCTGTAGCATTATGATATGAAATCTAGCAATACTATCATTCACTGTTCAGAGTGTTATTAGTCTAGTCTCTTATGTTCAATTTCAGCCTACGTAAAGATAAAGACAGCTACTAGGAAGAGACTGAGAAACATTATGTTAGACATTATTGATTTCCCCCAAATCAGGTCTTGAAGACTTAAAAAGCCTTAATCATCCTATAATGATCTGATTAGTTCTATAATGTCCAGTATATATTCAATGTGTGTGAAGATGGGGACAACTATTTGGAGGAAAACTAGAGACAATAAGACAATAAGAGAGTGAAGATCTCCAGTGGATTTGCTTTGAAATCTATGTTTCTTTAAATTGTTTCCTTCTAAACTGTTTTGCTATGTTTAATCTTACCTTCTTTAAGATAAAAAAACAAGTGTGTAGGACTGATAAACATATTATTAAATTTTTGTTGGATTGTTGAGCAGAAATGTTTGCAGTGTCATTGTTTGACTATCACTTTGTATGCTTTAAATTTGTAACTGGAGCAACTATTTCTAAGATGATGGTATGTAACTTATCAACTGGTGATTTCTTACTGTTTATTTTTCTGAAATTCTGTATTGTTATCTTTTTATCTGTTTTTTTTCTTCAAATAAAAAATTTACATATCAAAAAAAGAAAGCAAAATAAATAAATGTCAAGTTATACTGACCATAAATTTGAAA